GGCAGGGATGCGCAAAATTACATATATATATACATGATTTTGCATTTCTGGGTAGGACTCCCTACTCGCGCCGCTATTGGCTCCTCGGCATGTCAATCACCGTGTCCTGGCTGCCGATTCTCGGCCCGGACTCGGTGATCGTCAGTGGAGCTGACAAGGGGAGGTCTGTATGTAAAAAACACAGATCTCTCCCATCAGCACAAACAGGCTGCTTTGTATTGCTCTGCACAGCAGAGCAATACAAGCAGCTTGTCTACATAGTAAATCACACACAGCACACTATGTAAAAACAAACACAGCACACTGTTAACCCTTTGATCGTCCCAGATGTTAACCCCTTCCTGCCCAGTGTTATTAGTATAGTGTCAGTGCTTTTTATTAGCACTGGGAACTGGGAATTGTCACTGGGAATGTCAGTGGCAGTTACACAGCCCCCCCCAGTGTCAGAATGCCCATCGCAGTACCGCAATAAGTCGCTGATGGCTGCCATTACTAGTAAAAAAAACAAAACAATTCTACTATATATACCGCCATTTGTAGATGCTTTAACTTTCATATAAACCAATTAATTTACAGGTAGTGGGATTTTTTTATTAGCAAAGACATGTGGTAGAAATTCATTTTTTCATTTTTTTTTACTGGATATGTTTTATAGCAAAAAGTCAAAAACATTGACACAGTGAAACACAGGTGATCAAATACCCCCAAAGAAAGCTCTATTTGTGGGGAAAAAAAGGACAAAAAATTTAATTTATGTACAACGTTGCATGACCACGCAATTGTCAGTTAAATTAACGCAGCGCGTATCGCAAAAAATGCCTGGTCAGGAAGGAGGGTAAATACTCTGGAGGGCAAGTGATTAACCTGAAAATTGCTGCATTTGTTTAGTATGATGATCGTCAGAGAGTTGTCCATACAAATGTAGGTGCGTGGTTATGCACACACCCTCTGAGGGAACAGGTAGATGAATTATACCAGAGATTCACATTTGGTGTACAGTCAGTACAAATTATTATAAAATTTGTATTATGTTCCACTGAATGCATAGAATTCATGATGGTAAAAAAACTGCAGCCTTTACAACCACTTGAAGTTAGAACATTCAATAAGTTTTTTCTGACCATGTTTCACAGTTTAACCAATAAATACAGAGTTGATATATATGAACTTTTCATCTGCCAATAAACTGGAATTCTGTTACTGTAAGTAGGTCTTATGCCAGATTACACCATTATTTTCTGTGTCAACTGCCAGCTTACTGGACAAAAGAATAGCAGTGTGATAATGCTGATTACTTTTCCAATAAGCAGGCAGGCAGCAGGAAATAGTGGCACCATCTGTGGCAGAAGTGTGTGAACCACAACATGTGATTTCACTGTCACTTTTGCTAATTTCCTGTAGTTTTATCTTGAATATTAAAGTGGTTGCAAAGGCTCAAGGTTTTTTACATTCATGTATTCTATGCATGAAGGTAAAAAGCCTTCTGTGTGCAGCATTGCCCCCAGTCTCCTCAATACTTACCTGAGCCTCATCATGATCCATCGATCTGCACAACAGCCTTGGTTGTCCCAGGTCTCTGCCTCCTCATTGGCTGAGACAGCAAGCGGGAGCCATTGGCTCTCACTGCTGTCAATCACAGCCATTCAGCCAGTGAGGAGAGAGAAGGTGGGACCAAGCCATGGCTCTGTGTGTGAATGGACACACGGAGCAGCAGGTGCCCCCATAGCAAGCTGCTTGCTGTGGGGGCACCCAACAGGAGGGAGCGGCCAGGAGAGCCTGTGGGGGACCCGAGAAGAGGCTGATCCAGACTGCTCTGTGCAAAACCACTGCACACAGCAGGTAAGTATAGACATGTTTGTTATTTTCCCCCCAAAAAATTAACCTTTAGAGTCTCTTTAAACTTGTTTTGGGACATATGACACTGCCTGCAAGAACACAGATTGAAAATGGTGCAAGTATTGGAATATGCCCTTCTATATTCAGCACAGTCATAATGATTCTTAGAGAATCTGAAGAGTAATAACATTTTGGCTGTGGAAGCACTGTGGAGACCTGGCATGCTCTGCTACTTCTTCTTACAAAATATTTCTGTAGCCACAGACAATGAAAAAGCAAGACCTATGCTGACATTTTAGGATGCATAATTACACAAGGATTATTTGGGTATATAACGGGGAACAAACCAACTCATAACATTTAGACTTGCGTAAGAAATGTTATAAATGTTATTACCATTTTTTTTCTTCTATGAAAGGTTTAAGGTCATTCAGGATCAGAACTTAAAAAGTATACTCTAAAATGTGAAGTAATATAGTTGTTTCTTAGCACCTTTGTACCAAATTAATGTTTGTTACATGGACGCTACAAAAAAAACATACAGCTGAATAATTAGACATAGCTAATATTTGTATTTTTATTGTTTACCTTTCTTTTTATTACTGCCTACTCAACATAACATTCCAAACATGGCTTCAATAAATGTAGACTTTAAACTATGGTGTTTTGCAAAATAATTTGATGTGGCAGCTGTTAATAGTAATTACATGTATCTTTCCTGATGTCTGTCAGTGTGTATGAATGTTGTACCTTAAAGTGGCTGTATGACCCTAAATTCTAAAAACATAATGATATGGATGCTCTTAATTATCTCCTTTATAAACTTGAATTCTTAGATTTATGCCGAGTACCATGTAGCAGATGTGCTTTATAATCTCTTCAGTGCCACAGGGATTTGCTTATAAACTGTACACACGGTACATACCTCCATTTATGGCTGGTTTGAAATGTGAGATGACACACTATGAAAGCAGCACAGTTGCTTTTAAATACGGCATTAAAAGTCAAAATGAATGTAAATCTCTGCTGGTGAAGATGGCGTGTTTGAATATCAATTAAAAATCAAAGATAATACTTAGAACCCAAATTATATGTTATCCACTTAAACTACGGAAGATTTAACCCCCTTCCTGACCAGGCCATTTTTTGCATTACGGCACTGTGCTACTTTAGTTGACAATTGCGCAGTCATGCAAAACTGTACCCAAATGAGATGTATATAATTTTTTTCCAGCACATAGAGCTTTATTTTGGTGGTATTTGATCACCACTGGGTTTTTTTATTTTTTTATTATACAAATGAAAGAAGGCCATCAATTTTGAGAAAAATTATTTTTTACTTTCTGCTATAAAAAACATATTCAATAAAAAAAAAAGAAAAAAAAAAGATCAAATATCTTTATAAATTATAGTGTTGTCAGGAATGGACTGGCCAGCAATGGTGGGACTCACCTGCCTTATGGGCTGCAGTACCGGGGCTGGCCAGTGGGTGCTCCCAGCAATCAGAGACTCAACCTTGCAGCCAGCTAAACACCTGGAACTGATTATACTGGTGTATTTAAGGGATGGCCAGACCTGCAGACTCTGCCTTGGTGTGTGTTTTTCCTGGGCCCTGTATCCTGTTCCTGCATCCTGTTCCTGTTCCTGTTCCTGTCTTGTCGCTGACCCTGCCTGATCTGACCTCTGCTGACTTCTCCTGCTCTGACCCCGGCTCGTTCCTGACCATCCCTCTGCCTGAGCCTTTGTACCACGCTGCCTGCTACCTGCCGAACCTGGCTTGTGACCCCGACCATTCTCCGCTTGCTCCCCCTGTACCTACCTGCCCGATTGATATTGACCCGGCCTGCCTGACGACGCTTGCACTGTATGTACTGTTATCTGTGGGTGGTTGGTTGGTTGTTTGCACTGTGTTATGTTTTAGTATTGCACTGCGTTTATGTTTGTATTGTTAGTGTTAATAAATTACATTGTTTATAACATATCTGAAGTCTGCGTTTCCCTGCGTCAGTCACACACCTCTGGTCATACCCGGGAGCCCTGACATTACACCAAGGCCAATCCTGACCAGAAGTGGCTGCACAGGGAAGCCATCTTGGTTTGTTGATGGGAAGGATGGATCTTGATGAGGTTGTGTATTTATATCTGCTGGTTTTTGATGACAGAGAGTATGCTTATCAAACTCTGAAGGAGTATCCCCGGGATGAACTGCTAGAATGTATACGGCTCGCTCATGTTCTAGTAGATCAGGGCACAGAATTCTCTGAGGTGCAGCCATTGATTCAGATTTGTGCGGAGTTGGTTTCATCTGGTACCCCCGAATGCAGGGATGAATTTTTGCCGCCATTTAGTGCCGACCAGGTAGAGTCCCTGGTATGGTTATTAGAGGATGATGTGGATTGCTTCTTGGAGCATTATGCTGCATGTTCACCACAGATACTAAGAGATTGTATAAACGCAGTGCAGTCTTTGGTCAGACAGGCTTTGTGTAAGCTCAGCTTTGTTCAACCCATACTGCAGACATGGACAGATTTGTTGCACCCAGCCTCAGTCAGCTTACAAAAACCCAGTCCTGCTTCTAATCTATTTCCTCAAAGCTCTATTCCTGCATTCCCAACAGCTCCTCCTGCCCTGCTATCTACCGCATGTCAGTACCCTGTTCCCACTCGCTGCACCTATCCTGCCTTTAACCCTGTAAAAAAGCCCTCTGTAGCAACTGCTCCCTCCCCTGTTCCATCCTCCAGCTCTTCTCTGTCTCCAGCTGCTCCATTCGTTTGCAGACCTGCGTTTACTTGCAGTGCTCCAATAGTTAAAACCAGAAAAAAGCGAAAATTCTTTCCAACCAATACCATCCTGCCAGTATCCAAACCGGTGAGCCTGCCGTCTGAGAACCTGCCTTCCGTGGTTCAGCCTGAAGCCTCTACTCAGCCTGAAGCCTCTACTCAGCCTGAAGCCTCTACTCAACCTGAAGCCTCTACTCAGCCTGAAGCCTCTACTCAGCCTGAAGCCTGTACCCAGCCTGATGCCTGTACTCAGCCTGATGCCTGTCCCTACTCAGCCTGATGCCTGTACTCAGCCTGATGCCTGTACGCAGCCTGATGCCTCTATTCAGCCTGATGCCTCTATTCAGCCTGGTGCCTCTACTCAGCCTGATGCCTCTACTCAGCCTGAAGCCTCTACTCAGCCTGAAGCCTCTACTCAGCCTGATGCCTCTACTCAGCCTGATGCCTCTACTCAGCCTGATGCCTCTACCCAGCATGATGAACTGATCCAGCCTGACGATCCTATTAGGCCAGGTGACTCGGTGCCCACTGCCTTGCCAGATGACGCGGTGCCCGCTGGCAAGCCAAATGACCTGATGCCTGGTGACCCAGTGCCCGCTGTCATACCTGGTGACCCGATGCCCGTTGTCGGGCCAGACAATCCGGTACCTGATGACCCGGTGCCCGCTGTCGTGCCAATTGAGTCAGAGCCCACTGTCGTGCCTGGTGACTTGGTGCCCACTGTCTTGCCAGATGACGCGGTGCCCGCTGTTGAGCCCAAATGACCTGATGCCTGGTGACCCGATGCCCGCTGTCCAGCCAGACGATCCAATGTCTGACCCAGTGCCCGCGGTCATGCCAGTTGACTCGGAGCCCACTGCCTTGCCAGATGACGCGGTGCCCGCTGTTGAGGCAAGTGACCTGATGTCTGGTGACCCGACGCCCGCTGTCCAGCCAGACGATCCATTGTCTGACCCAGTGCCAGCGGTCATGCCAGTTGACTCGGAGCCCACTGTCGTGCCTGTCGCCCACCTGGGGGCCCGATGCCTGTCACCCCACCTGGGGGGCCCGGTGCCTGTCGCCCCGCCTGGGGGCCCGATGCCTGTTGCTCCGCCTGGGGGCCCGGGGCCTGCTGCTCCGCCTGGGGGCCCGGTGCCTGTTGCTCCGCCTGGGGGCCCGGTGCCTGTTGCTCCGCCTGGGGGCCTGGGGGCCCGGGGCCTGCTGCTCCGCCTGGTGGCCCACTGCCTGCTGCTTCGCCTGGTGATCCGATGTGCCTCTGCCCGGAGTCCAGCCCGATGTGCCTCTGCCCGGAGTCCAGCCCGATGTGCCTCTGCCCGGAGTCCTGCCGGATGTGCCCTGCCCGATGTGCCGATGTGCCCGGAGTCCTGCCCGATGTGCCTCTGCCCGGAATCCTGCCCGATGTGCCTCTGCCCGGAGTCCTGCCCGATGTGCCTCTGCCCGGAGTCCTGCCCGATGTGCCTCTGCCCGGAGTCCTGCCCGATGTGCCTCTGCCCGGAGTCCTGCCCGATGTGCCTCTGCCCGGAGTCCTGCCCGATGTGCCTCTGCCCGGAGTCCAGCCCAATGTGCCGCTGCCCGATGTGCCTCTGCCCGGAGTTCTGCCCGATGTGCCTCTGCCCGGTGTGCCGCTGCCCGGAGTCCTGCCGGTGTGCCGCTGCCCGGAGTCCTGCCCGGTGTGCCAGTCTTTGATATCCCACCAGTTACCAGACCCGGGCGGTGGAACATTTTGCCCAGCTAGGACTGTTTGGAGCATCCTGAGGCCGCTCCTTGAGGGGGGGGGGTACTGTCAGGAATGGACTGGCAAGCAATGGTGGGACTCGCCTGCCTTATGGGCTGCAGTACCGGGGCTGGCCAGTGGGTGCTCCCAGCAATCAGAGATTCAACCTTGCAGCCAGCTAAACACCTGGAACTGATTATACTGGTGTATTTAAGGGATGGCCAGACCTGCAGACTCTGCCTTGTGTGTGTGTTTTTCCTGGGCCCTGTATCCTGTTCCTGCATCCTGTTCCTGTTCCTGTTCCTGTCTTGTCGCTGACCCTGCCTGATCTGACCTCTGCTGACTTCTCCTGCTCTGACCCCGGCTCGTTCCTGACCATCCCTCTGCCTGACCCTCTGTACCACGCTGCCTGCTACCTGCCGAACCTGGCTTGCGACCCGACCATTCTCCGCTTGCTCCCCCTGTACCTACCTGCCCGATTGATATTGACCCGGCCTGCCTGACGACGCTTGCACTGTATGTATTGTTATCTGTGGGTGGTTTGGTTTGGTTCGTTTGCACTGTGTTATGTTTTAGTATTGCACTGCGTTTATGTTTGTATTGTTAGTGTTAATAAATTACATTGTTTATAACATATCTGCAGTCTGCGTTTCCCTGCGTCAGTCACACACCTCTGGTCATACCCGGGAGCCCTGACAAGTGTATTCTGCTACATATTTTTTTGGAAAAAAATCCCATAACTGTATATTAATTGGTTTGAATGAAAGTTATAGTATCTACAAACTAGGGCATATATACTGGAATCTTTATGTATGTATTTATTTTTTTATATGCTAGCAATGGTGGAGGTCAGCAACATATAGCAGGACTGTAATAGTTCTGTGGGCAATCTGACAGTGACTGATATTTTGTAGATTCTGACTAACTGACACTGACATGACCAGTTACACTAATACAGTGATCAATGCTAAAAATATACACTGTCACTGTACTAATGACACTGACTGGGAAGGGGATAACGTCTAGGGACAATCAAGGGGTCAATTGAGTGCCTGGAAATGTGTTTACTGTGTGCTGTTTTGTACAACAGATTGATTTATTTCTTTCCCTTGTTTAGCTGAGAAAAGAAAGCTATCTCTCCCTCTGTATAGAGCTCTGCGATGTTTACCAACACAAAGCTCTAGGCTGTGATTTGACCCAGCAGATCAGCAGGTCCAGGCACAAATCACAGGAGAGTAGGCAGAAACAGGCAGTGACATACCAGTATATTGTAGTGCCTGTAGCTACTGCCTTGCCACATTAAAAGTACTGTGGCTGGACAGAAAGTAGTTATATACCCCCCAAAATGATACTCTGAAATTTGTGCTTAACAGATTTTGCTTCATATTTTCCAAAAATGCTGCTTCTCATGCTGTAGGTACCTGTTCCTATCCTGCCAGTTCCTACCTCCCCCCCCCACCCAAAAAACACGTTTTAAAAAACAGAAAGCTTTCATTCATTTCTCATCCAGTTAATTGTATTGTGTACAAAATGATAACATCTCTGGTTTATCTAAAACCACTGGGTTTGGGGAGCAGCACTCAGCACTAGTCTTGTTTATATTACATAAATTCAAATCTAATACAAACTTAAAAACATTGTGACAATATTATTTTTATTTGACAAAGCACCAGTGGTCCCAAACATCTGGTATGTGATCATGACTTTGTACTGGACCATTACTAGTGAATGCAGAGCATATCACATCAGCATATCCTGTTGGGGGTGCAAATAGCTGTTTGGACCATAGGTCATTTGAACTTCAGGTTATTCCTGAGTGTGCATCTAAATATGAACTAATTTCAAGTCATCTGTCCTGTTGTATTCATTCCTTGTTATGGGTTGCCATCATTTACCATTTACTATGTATTACCTTTTGAAGGGGAGTTCAAAGGGTTTGATTTCTGCATAGCCTACATAGGCCATGGCCAAGCTTAGATGGCTACTAGGGGTGGGACACAGACATTCATAAATAATGCTTCTTCCATTATTGCATTTCCTTGTGTAATAAAATATTTTAGATTGGTGCTTTGCTTGCCAGCACTATTTGTCTAGATGTGTATTGTTGCTTTTCTTGAATGTTTTTTGCACATATTAAACAGTTCACTTACAACTCTCCCTGGGTCTATAAAACAAACTTCCTGTAGAGTAGGATAACAGGTTACATTACTCTTCTAGTTATTGATTGCATGGATTTTGATGCAGAGTGGGAAAACAATCTCTTCCAGCCTCTCTGCTCTTAGCTTTGGTTTGCCTTTTGTGGCTCTGATGTCTGATTTTGTTGGTGTGATGCTTAGACTAGCAGTCAACTGAATAAGAAGGGGGCAGCAAAAGATAGTTGACTTGGAGGGAAAGAAAGTATCATATTGACAGATGTGTTTGGCTTCTATTTTCACTGCTTCCTGCTGCTTTCTCTGAAAATTAGTTTTACTTTTAAAGAAAGAAAAACAACATTGATTGTCAGAGAACAGAGGAAGCTGCAGGGAACTCTGATCATTAACCAACTTTAAGGAAGATTTACCTACTGTATTCTGTGAATTTTCATTGACTATTGTTTAGCAAAATTATCGTAAGTGTACAAATGATGACAGATGATGATAGAAACATATTTTGTAAACGTTTTATGTTACTGGAGATATTGTGGTGGTGGCTGGTATTTTTTGCATTTTGTTGTTATTTTGGATTATTATAAATGGATGACCTGTAAATTTTATGTTTTAGCCATCGGAACCAGCAACTGAGAAGTCTGATATGTTTTCCCTCTCTATTTACTTATGTCTCTTGTCCATTCAGTAGAGCTTCACAGCATAGCCTGGATTCATGGGTTAATTTTAAATAGTCATGTATCTGGTGGAGGTCAAGTTGAGGGCTTTCCTTGCACATGCCACCTCCTCTCCAATACTCCCTGGAGATGGTTATATGGTGTAGCAGGAAAAAGAGGCACAGGTGCCTGTGGTGGGTCCAGGCAATCTGAATACTGCAGAGGTGCTGCAGAGGTTTGGACTGGTTTGGACTGGCACAGGAGCACAAGGAGAAGTCAGTCTGCAAGCCAAAGTCAGCAATGGGAGATCGGGATACAATGGAGTCAGAAGGTAAGCCAGGTCAAACACAGGATAAAAGAGGTTCAGTTCAGTTCATCACACACAGGAGCGGATGGTCATTCAGCAACTCTCATATGTAGTACAAAGATTTAAATAGAGTAATTGGTGCCATACCCAATGCTGAAAAAGCACACACTGTCACTTAAATTCACATGAGTTGAACTGGCTGATTGTACAATGCTGTAAACGTCTTTCAGATTTACCCACAATGTAGTATGAAACTCTGCTTAAACAATCAAATCAATTTACATTAAGCTTGCCCTAGTACCACATAGTTGTTGGTAAATCAAAAGAAGATCATACACACAAGACAAAATACATTTTTAATGAAGTGTTCTGTTTTGCAGAATTTATTAAAGACCCAGCAGGCATAATAATTGTGTTTGCAATGTATATAGCCATCTGTGTAAAACAAGCTAAACAAACAGACCTCCAGTTTGAATGGAATAAATAAAATGAGAGAAGAAAATTTAAGAACAGTACTCCCAATTAGGGATGAGCTTCAGTTTCTGGTTGAAAACAGTGAACTAATCCAATAATTCGCCATAGTAGAATCCGAATATCAACCATGCATTTCCTGTTCTTTGTGGTCAGGTGGCTTAGAAGGACCAATTATGTGGGGGGGGGGTTTATGTACCAGCTCCTCCCCCCACCCAAAAAGCCATGGTACCCTGCAGGCTTTTGTCACTGTTTTGTGGGGAAAAAAATTGGGTGCATAGGGACAACTTTCAGAATATTATTTGCAGGTAGAGATAGTTGCTGTTACACAGGGCTGCTGACCTGTACTATAATCTGTACTATAAAGTGCTGTATTGTGCGGGGCTAAATTAATAAAGTGTATTATAGTGTGGAGGGCTAAATAGCTTGTACCCCCACCTTGTTCCCTGCTCTGTATTGGACTCTATAACTTTGAATTGCAGTATATAAGAGTTCCATATGATTGTGTGTCTACCTCTCTATTTGTTTTTTCTTTCACTTAAAAATATATATCTGTATGTACCTCTGTGCATGACCTATACATTTACTGTACCTTTACACCATTACCAGGTTCCATGTTTTAACCCCTCAATACCAGCATATTTCTTTATATCCAAAACATTTTGGCAAAAAATATCAACTTGAGATGTTTACTTTCCAAAATTAGGTAATTCTGGGGGTGGCATTTTTTTTACTGTATTTTATAATAGAAAGTGAGGTAACCAGTTTTTCAAAAATCTTTTTTCTGTTATATAGCAAAAATATAAAAAAAAAACTCAGAGGTTAGGTAATGCCAATAAAATGTAGTTCTATATGTCTCAAAAAAAATGTTCTGTTTATGTAGGGCACTGTTACATGATGAAGTCATTGTCAAGCTATCACAAGAAAACTGAAAAATGCCATGGGCAGGGAAGAGGTGTAAATGACAGCCAACAAGAAGATGAATATTATTTATGGCACAATATTCCATCTTTTTTCTGTGAAATATA